TCTTTCCTTCTCTCGACGCAATGGACGCACCAGAACACAATCAAATAACAATCTACCATATGTTAAACAACAGAACGCAATTCAAATCCCAAAAGTTACATAATTCCAATGAAGCAATGCTTAGTGGGAGATAATCTATAATCACCTATCTCAAAAGTTAGGCTGAGTTCAACCCACTAAGGCAATCGAAGTTTTCCTATCCTATCTCAAACCACCCAGCAACCAAGCAAAGAATAACGGGACCAAATAACAATAAAGAATCAGAAATTAGAAATCTTTACATGGGTTTTAGCTCCGCAGATCAGATTGACAGCATCGGCCTGAGCTTGAAACCTCGACGGAGCATAATCGCCGTTCCGCATCCATTCCGAATTATCAATGCAGATCATTGTCGCCTGTCAAGCAAACCAAACAGACCAATTAAACAAACAAAACTTCCCTAAATTTAAACCCTTATTCGCCAGAAAATCCAAGAACTTGGGGAATTCGAACTTGAACTTGCAGTGCGGAAATTAACCGAGGGCGTGAAGGGAAAATTAGGGCTTCGGAACTCTTACCTCGAGCACCATGGTTGCAGATTGTGAAGAAAGATCGAGATTGTTTGATCGAAAAGAACATACAAGTAGAGGATTGAGGACTACTTTACTTGCAGAGGAGGCTGCCTTCCTGTGCGTTCTAATTATCAGGTGCGGACCAGGACTTTTGAGTGAAAACTGTACCGAGAATTCAACCAGTGACTCGTCGCCACGTAAGCTTGAGTCCTCGGCCCGGCCCAAAAGGACTTGCATGGATTGTATTAGCCCAAGCCCATCTATTACCGATCCTGATTCTGGGCCTCTTGCGTCTCTAACTGGATCATTTTGCCAATATTCAGTCCAGTTAGGGTTTGCATAGTTTGAATTCCGTCGCACGGGTGCCCCATATGCGCCTTGCGGAGAAAACATTTATACATAAAATAATATCATTTACGCGGACCTTCATAGGGCGATGTATCTATGCAGTAACGAAGCTAGAAATTTGATTTAAGGAAGTGATCTTAGTAGCACGACCTAAATTTTAATATCTTGTTATTTAATTAATTTGTTACGAATGGATTTGTATGTTCTTTTGCTTGGTGATGTTCGTAATTATATTTATTATGGTTAGATAAGTTTAAATTTCCAGATTTATATATGTAGTGGATGTATACGAATATCAAAATTTAAACTTATCTAACGACAATAAATAAGGTGGTGAGTAAAAAGATTTAAAAGTTATGTTTCTTGGCGCGCAAATGCAAATTAATCTGTATTATTGTGTATAATGCATACATCATTGTTTATAGGGATGTGATATCCACACACCTTTTTTTACTTCTCCCACACATTTTTGGTTTTCTGCCATCGGATCGGATGAATTGAAGAAGATCAACGGACAGAAATTAACAAGGGTGTGTGAAAAGTAAAAAGGGGTGTGTGGATAGCACACCCCTTGTTTATATGCTTTTTCTAGGAAATACCCAACTCCCTCTTAAACGCTTATTTGAAACGTATTATATCGTTTAATGTTAAAAAAAAAATGGGCAACCAAGTTGAATGGTTCAACCAGTGAAGTATCCAAGTTGTTTCTCAAGGAAACAAATAGATATACTATGTCTATAAAATGCTGATTTATCAAGTAAAAGGGAAATATTGTATCTACATTCTCTTGATTTCTTTCTTTTCCTTAACTAATTAAGATGGATAATACTAAAGAGACTAAATTTGTAGACCAAATTTTGTCAATTAAATAACATGGAAGTTGATGATTGGATTATGACTTAAGTAAACGTGCTCAATTTTATTGGTAACAGATCATTTAGTTTGTAAATTTTGCCTACAAATTTAGTCTCTAGCATTACCCAATTAAGAATCGTCAAAGATTTTGTACCTGCCTATTGGCGTTGGGTTGCATCCGAGCTACCAATTACAATCCCCACGAGGGTTCAGGGTCGTGTTTAATGTAACGTCAACATGAGATGATAATGGATCTCTCGTTGTTTGACTTATCTTTTGTACAAATGATCACTTCAATATTTTTCATTTACAAACTCACGCTTTTTATTTTTATTTGGCCTATCTCCCTTCTGTACGCCCCGTCTGATAGTGACATATAGTTCCTCTGGGTTTTTATGTTTATTTTTATGAAAGTTCCTCTGGTTTTTACAAAAAGGCAGTATTTCTTCCCTTTATGGTCTCAAGAATCTTGTTTGTTAAGTATTGGAATCACCGCGTGCGCGTGCCGAACTCGGAAAATATAAATCCATCTGTCTATTTCTTTTCGTTTATTTATTTTTGCAGAGCTAGCTTTGGTTCCTGAAGTTTTAACACTTTAATTTTTCAGAGAGTTTATAGTGTGCCAGAAACATTGTCTGACACGCCAAATATCATAATATTAGTGGTTAAATACTTTAAAAATTAAATTTTTTACCAATTGTATTAGAACACTTAGTATATAGGGTCGTATTCTCGGATACAATGTGGCATCTTAGGTCAATAATACAGCATGAAATATTTTGGGTAAATTACACAAAACTACCTCAACTATTGGGTCATTAACAGTTTCATACCTCATCATTAAAAAGTTTCAATGTCATACCTCATCTACGAACTTTTTACAATTTCATACATTTTGTCAGTTGTCTGTCAATTCCTCCATTAAAATGCTGACGTGGCTTGAGGCGGGACCTATTTTCTATTAAAAAAATTAATTAAAAAAACCCAAAAATCCCAAACCCAGATCCCCTTCCCCCCGAAACCCCCCATTCGCTTCCCATCTTCCTCGTCAATCCCCCCCGGGCCCCCAAAACCTTTCTTCCAAGCCCAAAACCCCTCCCCCACCTCCCCCGCAACCCCCCCACCCCTCTTCTCCCTCCCGAGCCTCTCAACCACCTCCCTCTCCTCCACTATCTTCACCTCCCCTCCCATTCAATACTTTAAAAAATAAAAATAAAACAACCAGTTGAGGTGGTCCGACTTCGACGGGGAAGGATGAGGTGGTCCGACTTCGACGGGAAGGAAGGGTTGGGTGGGGTGCGACGATCTGGACAATCTGGGTTCAAATTTTATTTTATTTTTAGTTTTGAATGGGAGGGAGGTGAAGAGAGTGGAGGAGATAGAGGTGGTTGGGAGGCTCGGGAGGGAGAATAAGGGTGGGGGGGTTGCGGGGAAGGTGAAGGAGGGGTTTTGGGCTTGGAAGGAAGGTTTTGGAGAGGGGACCGACGAGGAAGATGGGAAGGGAATAGGGGGTTGGAGCTGTTGGAGGGAGGATGAAGAGATGATGTGGGGAAGGTTGGAGTTGTTGGCGTGGGTGGGGAAAGGGTCGGGGACAGAGGAGGTGGTGGCAGGTGAAGATAGGGGATGGGTGTGAAAGACATCTTCCATTACCTTAAGGGTATTACGGATTTGGGCTTGTTCTATCCCTACGGATCCTTGAGTGATGCCGCACCCTCTGCTTCTCGAGTCGATTCTTGCCTTGTTGGTTATACCGACGCAGGATACTTATATGATCCGCATAAGGCGCGTTCTCAAATGGGTTATGTCTTTACCATTAAAGGCACCACAATCTCTTGGAGGTCAACTAATCAAACCTTAGTTGCCACTTCATCTAACCATGCTGAAATTCTCGCCGTACATGAAGCAACTCGGGAATGCTTTTGGTTGAAAGCAGTAGTGGGCCATATTTGAAGCTCATGCGATCTTTATCCCACCGTTGATGTCCCAACGACGATTTTTTAAGACAACACAGCATGCATCAAATAACTCAAGAAAGGTTATATCAAAGGAGACAACACCAAACACATTGCGTTGAAGTTCTTCTTTTCACATCAATAACAAGAGCATCAGAAGATTGAAGTCACGTAAATCCATTCACAAGACAATCTAGCCAACCTCTTCACCAAATCACCGCCGAAGACGATGTTTCAGAAGCTTGTTCATGGAATTGGTATGCGTAAACTTTCTGAGTTGTAACATTACTATTTCTCTTTGGAATTGTGTCAAACTCAAGGGGAGTATCCTTAAGATACTTGCTTGATCTTAATGTACTATTTTCCCCTACAATTAGGAGCATTTTTTCCACTGGGTTTTTGCTACCTAACTAGGTTTTAACGAGACACCCACCTTGGGCTGGTCATATCCCTGATAACGTCTCGTAGACGTTTCTTTTGACTTTGCTTTTCTCACATATTTTTCCATAAACTATGGATTTTGTCCCTCATCGGGTTTTTGTCATAGCCTTAGGGTTTTTTAGTGAGACTTACTAGCTATGCAAGTTCCTACCTTATTGAGAATTAGCGTTGTTCCTTAGAATCAATGTCGACGAGTCGAGTTCCTTAACTTCTGCATGACGCTAAATCTACCTTGAGTATTTACATACTCAAGGGGGAGTGTTGTAAACTTTCCTAGTTTAAGTGTGATTGTGTAAATCCTAGATTATATTTGATTCTAGTTATCATTTCCTATTACAACTTGTATTACTTAGGGAAGAAGGAATATCTTCTCTCGTTTTCCTACTATAAATAAAGGCACAATGTAGGAGGGATAACAACACATATTCCCCTACAATTCTACAAACACATCTCTCTCAATCTCTCTACCTTTGCTGCCGGCCCCCTTTAACCTTATCAGATAAAATAGGCTACAACACCTATAACAATTTTCATTTAAAAAAAAACTAATTTAAATAAATTTAAAAATGCTTAGGTGGAATCAAATCTTTAATAAAAAAAATTGTAGAAAATGAGTGGGGCAATCTAAGTTTCTCCTTTTAAAAAACAAAAATAGAATTCTCTAATAGTCTAATGTGTATGCCGCACGCAATGAGTGAGTTCTTTCTTGTTCCTTTCCTATATATCAACGACGTCATCTTGAGCTATGACCAACGTCATCTTGAGCCTCGTGAAGGTTCCCTGCAAATACGTTTGAGTTTCTGAATACCATAAAAAGGATTCCATCTGCAGTTTTGGGTAGTGAACAAAAAGTTAAATGAAATGGTGAACTTTCTAGGGTTTATAGCTTTTATCTTAATATTCTCAGTATCATCAGTCCACTCCAACTGCCCAAGCCAGATTTTCCCAAATACAAGTTACTACGAATGTGACGACCTCCCTACACTCAACTCTCGCCTCTACTGGTTGTTCGACCCGTCTATCTCCTCCTTGTCGATCGCCTTCACTGCTCCGCCTGCCGAACCAGAGGGCTGGATTGCATGGGGGATAAACCCAATCAGCACGGGCATGCTCGGGGCACAAGTTTTGGTTGCCTTTAGACAACCCATCGGCAGCATAACGGTGAAGACATTCCATTTAACTTCGTATACCATCCTAGTAGAGGCTCCAATTGATTTTGAGGTACGGCAGATGAGTGCCGAGGCGTCCACGGGGTTGGGATTCATCACCATATTTGTTACGATAAGGATGCCAGAAAATATTCAAACTTTGAACCTGGTAAGGGAAGGAAAAGTCTGATCATATATTTCTTTAGCTTCTTAGAAAAGAATATGTTATATATTGGCACTGTAATTAAAATAGGGGTGTGATATCTACACACCCTATTTTACTTCTCACACACCTTTTTAATTTTTGGCCATCAGATCAGATTGAATTGAAGAAGATCAACGGACAGAAATTATCAAGAGGTGTGTTAGAAGTAAAATGGGGTGTGTGGATAGCACATCCCTTAAAATAATTTTTCAACCATCATCAACCAGATCCCTTGATTAATTAAACCTGAGGATTGCTAGTGATTTGCTACCACCTATCGGGGTGGGAAAACACCATAGTTTTATTAACCCGATCGATGGTTTAGGGTTGTGTGCTTAAGGTGACCTCATGTATGTGGTGATGATAATCACTTTGAACATTTTCCCTTCATCATTTGCTTTTGTTACTTTACATTCATAACCTTTTTTGATGGTTTGATGTGAGTTGTATCTTGGTTTTTTTTTTCTTTCTGAGAAGGCTGTTCGGTATGTAGTGATGAGTTAGATGCGATCGTACCGACTCACATATGGTGCTCTTTGTTTTTGCAGGTATGGCAAGTAGGCGCAGCTGTATCGGATGGAGTTCCTCTTATCCACGAGCTCAACACAAACAATCTGCACTCCAGAAAACCTCTAACTATAAGAGCACGGGGCCAGAAGTCACCGGAAAAAAAAATTACTGGCCTGGTTGTTAACATCGTGATTGGAATCGGCATCTCACTATTTGTTGCACTGGTTGGCCATTTCTGTAGTAGGATGTGTTGTAAGAAAGAGCAAATAGGACACACAGATATCACCAAAGCCGCAACATCAGCCGCAGCCTCAGCAGCAACCTCTGCCGCAACCACAGCAGCAACCTCAGCTGCAACCGCAGGTTGTGGATGACATCGAGGGTGAACTTAGGGCTTCAGATATCTAGAGAAGCTGAAGATGTCATTACGGACGGGTCTTGTGACAACGTTTATTCTCCAACATATATAGCATTATGCGTGTTTAAATGCAGGATTAAATCCAATTATATTGTGTGTAGTAAAAGTTTGAATTCCATGTGTTGATTGTTCAAATGACTGAATTTGGTTCTTTATCTTCTATACTTTTTGTTTTTTTTGTGATGATCATATATGCATGCATATGTTCGCCTACTAGATGTTTCACAAAATATGGTTCTGATAAACTGTGGATATAAGTCTATGAGTTTAATTTTACTTGGTTGAAAGTCTTGAAAGACTCCGTTCGAGTTTCATTTGGGCTTAAGTCGCAGTTGTTCGAGGATTCATACGAAGTACCGTAGGAGAGCCCAGTAATAATTAAGGCATGCAGCAGATTATACAGAGTTTCGACGACAACTACGAGTTGAGAATAACATGAATATAAGATGTGATGTGTTTGATTAATTGGATGCTGGCTCAATTGTGGATTTATATGACTCCTGTCAGTACCACCTTGCGTCGTATTTGAACTTAATTTGTTTGATCTAGTATTTAAAATGAATTGTGGTGAATGATACTGTCTCTATATTATCTTCTCGTTTTGTACGTATCCCGTTCGATCGAGAGTCACCCCAACTGATAATCTTCTCTTAGACGTCAATCTTTTTCGAAGTTGCATCATCGGAATCGTTTTTGGTGCTAATGATTATGTTGGATCTTAACCTGTCATTGCAACAAGTCCCCAAGTACGCTAATTTCTATATAAGCTAGCATCCTTTAGGGTTACTTTTCATATTATTCAACTAAATATAATTTGAGGCTTTCTCACATTCTCTGGTGCGGATTCTAGTTCTCTTATGCTTCAAGGATTATCGCTGGATACCTTCAGTATGTCGCGCTACGTCAAAGATCGATGCACATTATGTAAGCAAGATTAAAATTTTAGATATCAAATACTTTATCGGGGCATCGATGTATGACACGAAATCTGGCAACTCTTTACTGCAAGCTGAGTTTGCGCTCCCTTTTTTTGTTGCAGGGATAAGGAAGATACGAAGACCGATCGCGCTGAATTGCTTCGCTTTGTTGTAGATCTTGTGTTTGTAAGCACCACTAGTTGAATAAAGGAACTGCTAGCTTCAGCTTCTTTCAGTTTGATTCTATGATAAATGTCGAATTTAAGAATAACTAGGCAATAAACCGAACATACAAATGTCTTTAAGTGTTATTATTGTTATTATTCTGCTAGATTTTCATGATCGGCACATATACATACCAATTATTAAACCCTAATTATACTGTCAATCTTCAACAATCTTCTTCAGCAAAGTGCAACATCCTTGCACCAACGTCAAACAAAAACTTATAATTAACCTGCTGAACCGCGCCCACGATGCTTGGCAAGTTTTCACTAGTACCCAGTGACAATATCGTCATGCATAACTCACTCTTTTTTTCAACGACTGTGAAGAGTGACGGCTTATGCACCTCCATATCGCCGCCCTCGAAGTGAAGCATCACTGACGGTGCAGTGAATACTGTATGGAAGTCGTAGCAAAGGTCAAAGTCGTCTCTCGCAGTTTTCGGAATTGGTTGCCATTGGTACATGTTGTAAAAGTAGTCCACCACAGCCTGCCTCAAGATCTGGAACGCTTCGTCGACGATAAGACTGTACGGAGCCCCCGTATCAACAACCACCCCTCCTCCCCCTAGCTTGAATAAGTTCGGATCGATGGGGAGAAGTTGTCCGTTGAGGCTTATACCATTTAATCTCACGTAATAATGGTCGTCTGGACCGCCCAAAATTGGTGTGCTACGTACATTTGTGGCACCTATAATTTTTGCATCGTCACCAAAATGTAACAATGATGGGGTGGCCTCAAATTGTGGCGCTAGGCAATAGGAAAATCTTAGAAGGGTGAGTTGTCTTAGAATACTTGTGGGATGATCCCTCCCTAACCCCATAATCCCGATTATCGGATTCGGATGATCGTCGTCACGGACGCTGAAGATTATATTGTTCACCAGTCCTAACCCAAACGCCAATGGGACATCTTGTTGCCCTTGCTCGGATAAGAATGTAAATTTCTCAAATCCGACCAAACCCTCAGTGGTAGTACGGTCAGCATACTCTAAAAGATAGGAACAGCCACGGCCGCGAGGGCTGAGGAATGGAGGAACACAAAGCGGGTGATTATAAGGCAGGACTCTTGACGAGGATGATTTCCTGAGGTCGAAGCCTGGCAATGGCGTGACGATACACTTTCTGCATTCTGCAGACTGAACCCAGGTAAAAGCACTACCGGTGTCGATTGCCAGGTTGGCTACCTGTGGAGGTGTGCCGATGGTGATCACTGTGTAAAAGAAGTCACTGAATGCATGTCTAACGTAAGACCTTATGGTGTTTGGGACCAGTACTGGTGATGATGAATTAGGGTTCGTGATCGGTTGAAATCGATGGGCTCGAGATTTCGAGACTTGGATTAGTTTTTGGTGTTTTTCAAGTAGGGTGAGGTTTGGTGAAAGGGTGGTGAACATCTTGATGCTGAAACCTTGTGCCTTGCCTCCCATGCTTGCTGCAAACATGAGGAAGGCTACTAGACCAAGAGAGAAAAGTAGAATGTTATGAGACATTTTTCTCATGAGGCTCATGGTTTTGAATGATCTGATGATATATTTTGTATTGTGATTTTAAGTGTGGACTCTAGAGTACTATTTATAATATGAAAAATGTGATAAAATTGTTGTCGGGAAATATGATTTTCACTCTTTTATTCTTTTCACTCTCCTGTTTGTTTTTAACTCAAAAATAAATCAATGGAAAAAAAAAAACAAATACAAAATGCACAAGAAGCTGGAGAAATTTTTAATTGTGACGAAAACATGAGTGGTTCATCAAGTGTTTTTATGTAAATAGTGAGAAATTTTATTTTTTAAGTTATTAACTTTTTAACACATATATCATACTATTTGTATAATGACACGTAATTTACCATTTCATGTGCCGATCACACTAAAAAATCTCTCGAGAAACGGATCTTCGATATGATATGTGTAGTGGTGTTAGGTGTAACCATTTCTGCCAGTGGAAGAAGTTGCACGTGAACATATACATTCTAAGACATTGGGATCTGACACGCTGAGAGATTGCAATTTTAGGGTTACCGTATATGTGGTTCTTATCACCAATTTAGTGGAGAAATTAAATTAAATTTACAAAAGTGATGATATTTTGACAACAAATGTGTGAGTTACTAAATTAAACTTTGGGATGCACTTTGTAGCCTTTGTTCATACACGAAATTAGAACATATATGAATTAAAGGTTTTCATAAATTAGTATGGCCAGCTGCAAAGAAGATAGTGGAGGTAGCTATGCTCCCAAAAGTATGTAGTTTGGGACTCGATTAATGTTACAGATTCTAATTAGAAGATGGTTTCTTGTCGATTTTCAATTACCATATGAAGATTGGTGTAACTTGTAAGTTATTGAACCAGGGTAATGCTAGGGAGCTTCAATCTATAGACTAAATGATGTGTAAACAATAAGAATGAGCACGTTTATCAACGCTTAAGTACTAATCCAATCTTCAAATTTCATATCGTTTAGCTTACAAAATTTTGTCTACAAATTTAGTCTTCCTAATATTATCCTATTGAACCTTAACAACTATGATTGACATTTGTATATAGCAAATTCGTTAATCACAATTGGGCGAACAACAAAGCATGCACACCCTAAGGTGCACCAAGGTGCACCTAAGCACCATTCTTTTTCTTCGGGATGAGCACTTGCGGATCTTCTTCTCGGTTACAACTTGCAGATTCTCTGTAGTGCATTATCATATGAAGAAAAAATTCACACATAACAATGACACGCCTCGATCCCGATATTCCCTGAATACCAGGATAGGCATGTGCTGGCCGACACCCGAAAGTGATGAAAGCCATTTATTGAGTGCAATTGCTGAAAACAAGAGATAGATAAGACTTATAAATATAAAAGAATAATGAATATGCATTTAAGGAACGTATTCAGAGCAGACAACTAACTAGAATACTAAAAGAAATAATATAAAATTGAATGAACAAAAGAATGGGTCCTACATCAAGAGGACTCAAAGATGCCGATGCAGAAGTGTCTGGATGCTGGGATTGTATACCTCGATTCTAAGTCCTAAAGGTGGGGCAAAACAAACATGCGTGGACCAAGTTGATATATATATATATATAGTAAAACAGTTATTAACGTACTAACCCCCAGGTTTTATGAAAACACATATATAATGATAAACATAGGTTTTCCGAAACCTAGCATGCTGTGCAATGTCTCAAAAGCATAACTTATATATATAATAATCACTAGTGAATTGTCCGATAACCTCCAGGCCCCATGCCGGCTCCCCGTCTCTGAGCAGACAGTCAGAGGAAAATACACTTCAGGCCCCATGCCGGCTTCCCGTCCATGTGCTAAATAGCCAGATGAAACACACTCCAAGCCCTATGCCAACACCAAACCATCATCCGGGACGGGCCGGAATCTATCCCTACCTCCCGTAGCAGAAAAGACCACTAAGTAAGTACAAAACCACTGAACATATATATCTTGAAAAGCAACTTCATAGTATAAAGTCATCCATCATCTATACTATAAAGAGGTATTCGAAACATATTCTAAATATCATATCGTCATCCATCGGATATTCTACAAGAACATGGGTTATAGGAAAAATAGTAATAATTCAAAATAGCCTCAGTAAGCATGTTATCTCAAAGCGTTTCATAGAACATAATCATTAAATTATGTTTTTCCATGTATGCATTTCTACTATTAAAACATGCATTTTTAGAAGGGGTCCACTCACAATACTTCGCCGCCGATGAGCCACACAACTAGCGAAGACAGAAACGCCACTATAATTGTCTCTAAGCACATAAAGAGTCCAATAAATAAAACTATATAATAGCAATCGAATTTGGAAAAACGGACATTGGAAACGGATTCAGAACATCGAATTACCCTAAGAAGGGTCCCAGATAAATTTCGTAAACGTCAATAAAATATTTCCTGAATATTCTCCATAAAGGGTTTTGGGCCGACTAGGGTTTAGGGTTAGGACTTGGGTTAGGGTTAGGTTAATGGGTTAGAGAATTAGGTTGATAAAAGGCCTAAGGTAAATAATTGGGTTTAGAGTTTTTAAACTAAAAGGGTTTATTGGGTTAGGCCCTAGGTTTTAGGGCTTAAAGCCCTGGTTCAAAAGGCCCAAAGGCTTTTAGCCTAAGGATTTCTGAGTTCAACAAGGGAACGGGTTGAAGGCCCTAATTTAAACATGGCCCAAAGGCCTTTATAATTAAACAATTAAAATTAAAACAAAATAAAAGAAAAAAGGGTTTGGGTTGGGCTCGGATCTAACGGGCCTAAAGCCCCAGTTCTAAATGGCCTAAAAGGCCTGGGTTTTCTGGAATGTGGGTCGCCGGACCCATTCGAAAGAGAAAGCCGGATTCGGAAGGAATTTACACAAAGTTTAAACGGCCATAACTTTGTCAATACTTAACGAAATCAAGTGATTCAAAAACAAAAATTGTAGCCCTCGAAGAGACGAAGAGAATGGTACCTCACAAAATGTATAACTCGCCGTGATGTGGCCGAAAAATGCCTCGAAAGCCTCGGAGGTGGCCGAAAACTTAGTAAAATTCAAATGAGTATAACTTCTTCAATACTCAACGAAATTGAGTGAAACAAAATGGAAAGTTGTAGTTATAAGTGAGGCAAAGAGATTGATACCTTGCATGCTGGACAACGCGTTGTATTTTGGCCGGAAATTGCCTCGAAAGTGGCGGTCTGCGTCGGAGCTCGTGTACGGGGCTTCATGGTTCGACTTCCAAGATGCCAAGACTATGGTTGAGTTCGTAGCGACGAGATAAAGACGATGGTGATGTTGAAATTGTGATTTGATGATGATTTTAGGATATGGGTTATGAGTGTGGCACGGTTAAGGAGAAGAAGAAAGAGAGAGTGACGGAGAGTGACGGGAAAGAGAGGGAGGAAGTAGACCAAAAAAGGGATGGCCCCACGTGGCACACAATTTAACACCAAAAACAATTTTAAAAGAAAATAATACCCAAAACAAAATGAAATTACATTACTTTTAGGGATGGGGTTTTACATAACAATGTATTACTAGACGTAAATGCCACTTGATGTGAAGATGCATCTTTAATCAAGATATTAAAGAAATTTAGAAGCTCAAAGAGTGGAAAAATATTTGAACCACATTATTGCTAGCTTATTGTGAAACTAAGCTACCCCCTCCCTCTTACAAAGTTACAGATAATATCGTTTGTTCAAAAAAAAAAAGAGGAAAATATGTACTAGTCGAAGTAGCAAAGGCATTGTAGTCACTAGGAAGGCCATTTGAGGGTATGTGCTACAAAATCAAGGTCATCACGTGGAGCACCAGCTGCAGCAAGGGCATCAGAGGTCTGCTTAACAAGCTGAAGATAGTCAGACACGGATAGGGCTCCTTTCTTCAAATTTTGAAGCTTAGCTTTGAGCTGCAGCCAGTGGGATCTACTAATACCACCAAAACGGCTCTCCAGGTTGAGAACATAGAGTAGGCGCAGTGGTTGATCCAACGGTGTAAGGGAGAACTGCTTCAGAGAGGCGCAGTGGTTGTAACATTCGGACGCTAAATGATTAATTAATGTATCAAAGTGTATACAAGCAGTCTATATCTCTTGTGATACTCCAACAAAGAAAAGCTTATGGTGGAAGGAGAGCCAATTCATCTTTTATGTTACTATGATCATCGTGATGGTGATCACCCTCATCGTTGTCATCGCTATAACTGTCGTAAACTGGACCAACAGAGAGAGGAGTTTCTAACTTCTCATCTCCGCCCTGCAGATGTCGGAAAGATGTATTCTGTTTCTTGAAGGAACTTCTCTCCGAAGAGTTTGAGGAAGAACTTTCTAGTTTGTGAGTTTCATCCACAATAGAATCGGATGATGTTGATGTCCTCACCAAGTGTGTAGTAGCAGTGGATGAAGTACCTTGTCTGGCCTTCACTCTCCTTTTCCATCCATGTAGCGAATTTCTTACATTTTCGGATACTACAGATTTCTTGAACCTTGAACCCATCTGTGTGATGATAACATAGAGTGGGAATGTTATAAAGCTACACCAGAACTGTGTGACAACCCTGCAGTGAGTGATCAATAAGTCATCAGCATTTATATCTATGATATCGAACCACATTGGCGCAATTTGCAGACAATGAACTAGACCTGAAACACATCAGTTGCAATGGAAAGAGCGAAAAATGCACATTACATACCCAAATGTCAAGCGAATCACAAGGAAAGTACGGTTGTCCATGAAACACAAAGGTTCCTTAATTTCCCACTGGAAACAAAATATTTGAATCAGCGATTCAGCATCACAAGGAACTAAAATAAGGAAGCTTCGAACTTTTTTAATTCAGAGGCCCGTTTAAGATGAAAACTAAAAACTAAAATGGTTATCAAATGGGCCCTTAACAAGTCATTACATTCATACCAGGGACCAGATGAAAGTTGCCATCTCGAGGGCATTCTGAAAAACAAATGCCGGTAAAATATTAGGACAGTGGGAATTAAATGTCATTAATTTTAAGATTTGAAATGGATGCAAGTGTCTAGTACTCACCTGGAAGGATATCAGTTGTATTACACGTAAAAGAAGCCAGGGCTTCTTAAACCAGAAGAGCTCATCTCTTAGTTTAAACTGATGATTTTCCATATACGGACTTTCTTCCATGATTTCGACAGCCAGCTTTACCACTATTCGGTGCAGTTTTGTACCAATAAGCAGGATCAACTGATGTGGGAGTCATGAAAGAAGGGAAACAAAAAGAGAAATTATGCAGCGTTACTTCGAAAAATGTTGAACTTTGGAGAAGCTCAAGGAAATTTGAACATTAGTGACTTACAATGGCTGGAAGGAAGGACAGCCAAAAGTAAAGGTTGCTTCCTGAATGTCAGTAACAAAGTTAAAGCGCGTGGTAAGATTAGCTTGACAGCTAAAATGTATCAATTTTTTTCCAGGAATTTTATCTGCATAAATTTTAATTTGGGTGACAATTGTTATCCTTTGAGACCATAGTCAAGCATTGGTATAAGCTTTTCGAGACAAAAAGAAAATTACCATGAAAATCTAGAACAACGCAACAGATGGTGTAAATCCAAAGAGGCAAACTGCAAAATAAGTGCAAAAAAATGTAATTACGTTCACCAGAATCTCTGTTGAGATGAATAAATTACTAAATTCGTCATAGAAATAAACTTTTACAAAAAAAAACCAGTTTCCGAAGAAGAGTAATAAGTAAAAAGTTTACCTGACACCAACAATATCCCGAAATTCTTCCTCCATGCTGCGAATCATATAATTATGGAAATCATACGACAAAGGAAGTTGATGAGTCTACATGAAGGAGGGGAAACACAGCAGAGTCAGCAATGCAAAGCAAGTCCTGTGATATTTACTCGCACATTCTTTTGCACTCTGAATGACTCAATATGTAATAAAAAATAAAAAATAAACATAAAGCAAGCTATGATACCGTGGATATGACTTATTTTCCATAAATGTAACAGTCGTAAAAAGAAATTAATATTCCAGATGCCATGGCAAAGCCAACTTTTCTACTATAACCGGACTCACCATGTGAAAAAGCATGCAGATATGAATATGAATTATACAAGTACCGTAAATGCTCAAGAAAGACAAAAAAACATTAAGACTAGAACAGAATGTACAGTGATGAAGCCGAAGCGCAAAGCCATGTAAGAAGACCGGTTTATAGAACTCCAGAACTGGCGGCTGAAACAAAGCTGCAAATTGGGTTGAACAAAGTTGATGGTAAAGAAAATCATAACAGCAGATAAAGCGACTCTGAGAGATAAAAGTTTAGGAAACTGCAGTTAACATAGCACAAGCATACATTGCAAATAGCCAAATAGAATATCATTGATTGAAATTGATTGTCCTACGTGTAAATGAACGACGAGGTTAGTTTTAAGCAATGTTGTAGCATCTGTGGAGAATGTGATAATGCCCAAATGCGTGCAAATGTGGGGTCTGAGACCTCAAATTAAAATTTTAAGATACATTTCTCGGTCAAGATGACAAAACAGAATCACCATCTAGCATATAAATCACAAAAAAGTGATAAATTCAAGTGTACGGTTAGATCCATTAAGAAATTAGGATGTGAGAATACCAGCCAAACAAGAACTCTGTGCTGACTCCATGGATGGGATGTGTGGTGACATATGAAAGTAGACAATCTCCTCATTCTTTGAATACCTGGTTGACCTTGCGCGGTATCTGAATACAGGAAACAAAAATGATAGGGCATCCATGACGTCTATAATTTGTAAGGCATATCCAAAGTTACGTCTGGTAATCATGGCAATTCTGGAAATCAATACAAACAGTTTTTTCACCTTCTAAGGTCTTAATTGCTTCTTTGGCTTCATTTTCCCATACTCTCCAGCTGTATAACTGCATAAGATTAGGAAAATGCGCTTAGTTTTCCTGTAAATAGGACGGCACAACCCCATGGACCATTAGAGAAGTTTGATCGATGATATGACATAGTTACCTTAATCATGGCTAGGACAATGGCTACGAAGCTGTAAAAAACATGGGTGATGCCGAGCACAAACATCAAACGGTGAAGCTGTTCAAGACTTTGTTGAGAAGCAAAGGATTCGTGACCCTAGCAACCATATAACAAGATATGAAACAATCTTCGTGTTTATTGCTTTCTATTGGGGCCAATCAGATTTCACTGAGTACCATGTGACAAGCAATTTTTCAACTAACATGCAAGCGAATGTTGTCACATGTGAAAGAACCATAAACTCTGTCATCAAGATTTTTCAAAATGATCAATACACAAAATTAGAACAAGTGATTGCTGAGATTCGCGCGGGAGAATATATACACTTAAAGTATTTCCAACTACAACTGCATTAAAAGGAATTCATTATGCCATGAGCAAGTGAAATTACCTCAGGACAATAGCCGTGTTGAGAACCAGCCTTCACCTGTACTCTGGAGACTGAACTATTCAAATTACCCGAAGTCGGAACAAGAACATGTTCAACAGCATTCAAAAATTCACTCTCCGATGCACATGGAAAGAACCGGCTGCTCATAACCGACGATTTAACACAAATCTTGGCCACAATGATAATGAAGTGACTCATCAACAATGACATAACCCCAAAAAGCATGAGCTCTGCTTCAACAACATTGACAGCCAAAAGGATGAGTCGAAATCATCTTAACAAAGATTAGTACAAATTGAATGAAGAACAAAAAACCAATTCCTAAAATTATTACCTTCTTTAATCTTCTGCAGAGCAGCAATTAGAGACTTCCTTTTAGTCTTATCCAACCACTGCCACAAAGTAGGGGAATAATATAAGACTCTGAGATAATACGATATTCTAAACTACTCTAATTTAGATTGAGGATCAAACTTGATGAAAAGGGGCGGACACACCTGAAGTTTTTCTTTAAATAAGGACAATATTCTAAACTACTGCAATCTACGGATCGAACTTAGATAAAAGGGGTGTGACTAATTGGCTAAACTCACTAAGAAGAGGCACACGATTCAAGGAAAGGTAAGCAAACACCAAAACAAAGACAAACATTGAAGATTTAAGATCAAAATTACCTTTCCAACCCGTTCCAAAGAGCCATTGAAGAAGAACCCAAGAACAACCATGACACAGGTCACACAAGCAACCGTCCATGTTGGGGTTTCAGCCAAGGATCTTCCTTCCCTCTCCTCCATTTTTGACCAATCCCAAACGCAGAAAAACCCAGAAGAACAACTTCTGCTTTTTTCAAAAGCTATCTGCTTCCGCTTGTCTGATGAACCAGAACATTAACACTAACAATGGTACGACTGGTTGTTACATGGGTTAATTGCAAGCCATTAATGGGCTCCGATTAGGTGGTGGGTTGCTGGGATTGTGGGGTTTCCATGCCCAATACTGAGAAGTGCACCAGCAGAAAATTTAAGGAAACATGCATGGAATATTGTCACGAAATTATACACTGACCCAATTTCAGCATGGTGGGTGGCCACAGAAATGGGCCCCACTAGCTGACACTAGCAGTATGCATGTTTTGAAGTTGTCCCTTGACCACAGCATCTCTGGGGCTTTGAGCGTGTTTCTGTCTTTCATGCTGACCGTGTCAATATAATACTGTTTAGTTAGCATTAGTTAGCATGTCGCATTGATTGCAAGTGATCATTTACCTGAATGGTGCGTAAAATCAAACTTTGTAAGTGACTAATCTCATATGAACTAGACTTGATTGCTGAAAATTCAGCAGTATCTCTTGTTGCCAACCAATCACGGTTGAACAGGTGTTCAAGTTGTGAAATTTTTAATCAATTTGGACACGTATCTGGCCGTGATTGGTTGGCAGAAAGAGATGTTGTGCAGCTAAGTCTTTTCCATCTAATATTTAATCTAAAAAAATTTATCGTTTGGTAGAAAAAAAAAAAATGTCACATTGATTAAGAAAATTAATAAAGGATATTGGCAGGGCAAATTTAGGATCGTATTCTTCTGGTGCATTTTTCTACCATATATTTGTTTAAATTAAAATAAAGTTAATTAATTGAAAAATTAATCATAGTTGGTGTATAGGACATATGGCAGTCTAAGGCATGATAAATGCCCTTTATTTTTCTAGAGATTGCATGTTGAATATTGAATCTTGTAAGCGTCACTTCTCTGATTCTTAATTGGTTTTGGGTTGAATGTTTATATTTTAATATGGTGTCATAGGAGATTATTCATGTCACAAGCAGTCTTACGTGCTTCCTTGTTGAGACAAGTCCACATGTGAGGAGAAGCGGAAAGTTGTGACATGTAAGATGACGTGTTAAGAGTATTCTATGTTAAATAATGAAAGTTTGGCGTGATAAGTTTGAAAATAACCAGCACATTTGTACACATGTTTTGAATTAAATGCCAACATTACAAGAACAAAGTTATTTAAACACATAAAATTAACACATTTGCTAAGACGCTCACTTTTATTAGAATTTAGAGTGGCAACTAATTTGTTAATTTTGGGTCTGTAATTAATGAGTTGTCGACCACCTAGCTATATTCACTGTGGTATATCTATTATCGGCCATGGTTGTTGAGAAGATTATAACAATCAATATTGTCTGGGAAGCGATTTCATGGATTTTATATAATATAAGAGAAATGCTAAAGAGATTCTCTCAAAGTTGGACTCTCTGCTGCCTCATGTTTATGACATAATTTTTTATTATGTTGGCATGAGAATTGTGCAAAAAATATGAGTTGGCGGATAGTAGGGGTGGCTTGAAGGGACCGGACCGGACTCGCTTGAAAATACAACGGGCTAGGGCGGGGCGGATTATACTATTTTCAAACCGAGAACCGGACCTAACTAGGCATGTATAAAATGGGCCGGTTCCTAAGGGTCCAACGGGTACCCTATTTTTTTTTCCTTCTAATTTTCAATATCTTCTCAAAACAATAACTGTGAGAAGATGTATCAGAATAGCATTGCAAATATGATAAAGAAACAGACAAAATCAAAGCATGGGTCATATTGTAATCCATTACAGAAACCAGGTGTTCTAATAGAAACCCCATCTAAGCGTTTGGCAACAAAAGAAAAACGAAGAAAGCGTCGCCGGAGCACAAGCTGCACAAATCCAACTTCCTCGCTGGAGAGAGAAAGCTTGAGTTGACCACATTGTGTGCCTTCTCAGTTCTCTCCACCACTCCCCACTACAGCTGGACGACTCAAACAGGGAGATCCGATTGAAAATTTCACAACTTTTCACAAATTTTGTAAATCAAAATTCAGAAATTGACGAAATTGGAAGAAATGAGGGAAATGAGTTACCTCGGTGTTGAGATTAGAGAAGGAGTTGGTGGGGAGGAGGGCGGTGGCAACATATCATTTCTCGGTGGGGTGTGGGTGTGGTGTGTCTATGCTCCGGGAAGGAGAGTTGCAGAGATAGGGGAGAAGAAACAAAGTAGAGGAATGAGGGAGAAGGTTCGAGAGATTGGGGGAGGGGGAAACATGGGGAAGTGGGGTGCGTGTGTGTGTGGAGTGTTCTAAAGAGTGAGAAATGTCACAGCCCACGGGGAGGAACAAAAAGAAGTGGGCCTGGGAGAAAGTAACAGTACCCATTACGGGGGTATTTTTGCAAATGGGTCGGTCCGGGTACCCGTTTTTCTATACTTTTGGAACTGGCCCGAACCTAAAATTTCAAAGGCCCGCCCCGCCCCACCCCGTTTCTCTTTTTTAAAATTAGGATCCGCCCCTACCCTCGGGCCTAGGGCCCGTTTGCCCACTCCTAGCATATAGTGTATGAAAAGTCTCAATTTTGAAAGTCGTCTTAGTATTTCTCATAAATAGAAGCCCAGAGGTGGCATTGATGATTAGGGAAAAAAAAACTCCAACATGTATTATGACAAGCTGAGTACTTGAAAAATTCTGTTGTTCATTATGATAAATTTTTCAAAGTATCGTTTTCAACTGGTTATAATACGAGTGGAGGGACACAGAAAAATATATTATTTCATCCACTTGTATTATAACTTGTGAAGTACGCTTTGAATACTAGGCACTTGGAAAAATCTCTCATTGGTTAGACGGCTCATTTAAAATTGTGAGATATTGAATTCAATTACAAATGTATATCAAATAGCGAAAATTTTATTATACTCCAAGAATTCTTACTTCATTAAAACTAATTGTAGTTGGAGTCAACATAATGTCTTTTTACGGTAAAGACCACGAAGTGTCCCCACACCCAAAGGATGTGACTAATCTCTGCTCGAGGTTCGGCTTGCCTCTGGCCATAAAGTGCTCTTAGTTGGTTTCAACCCCTACCAGAAAGGTACCAAAGAATCTGCCAACTGAAGGTGACAATTTGCCAATCGCACCACACCTGGTTGAATCAACAAAATGTTTGAATACTTGTGAATTCATACCTTTCTAGTAAGGCTCAATTCAATCTAATCGTGGCTAGTTCTGATATTTAGAGGCTTTGGTATGTTCTTTTCGTGTTTAAATAATTTAAATAAGGTCTCTTGAAAAAGAGGATGAGAGTCGAACTCTTTTCGATATTTGCAATTACGTAGCCAAGATTGTATTCCCCTTACTCATACTTGGGAAGTGATACATTCTTAAATATCATCCACTATATATATACACCGAAATTCAGATTACAGATACATATGTTGCTTGCCATGTAAGAAACTAGAGCTCTTCTTTTGCTTTCTTCTGCTGGTCTACATCTTCTGCCTTTTTCGGTTGCACAACATCTTCTGGCTTTTTCCGGTCAGCGTCCCGGCTTAGTAACCGGAAAATCATGCTCGATCCAAGCGAGATAGCCTCCTCCCATGTTGCTCACATTCTTGAAACCCTATCATTTCATTGACAATGTTCTAAGAATTTGATAGAAATGAAAGAACAAAGATGAGCGCAGTGAAAGGTGGAAGTATACGCACAAATAAAACCGGTTTCAAACTTTTAATAAAAAATAAACGAAAGGGACAATAAACTGTGGTTGTTATACGACTTATTGTCGATTTAGTTTAGTGCCTTCCAGTTTTAATTCTGATTAAACATCTGTAATCAGTTCTATTTGTACGTATTTCGATAAAATATGCAAAAAATGGATACGGATTTGAGAATACTTACAGCAGCCAGAAGATCAGCAGTTGCATAAAGGGATCTAACACCACTTTGACAACCCTGTAAATATAATTATTTCACATTCAGAAATTTACCAGTAAATAAATGTTCTTGATTCTTGGTAAAAAGCTACAAGATAACCCATGAAAGTAAACAGTAAGAAAATTACCACAACAATAAGGTCATCTTTGTTGCAGGCAGATGAAACCTCTTCCAAAAACTGGGGATTTTTCACCATACCTGAGGTAGAAGAACACATGAAATTGATGGTAAATAGAAATGAAAACTAGTGAAAACATTAATAGCTAACAGAAGTTACAGCCACCTTTAGGTGTATTGAACATGTAAGGAATGTTCAGAATCTTCTTTGTATCCACATGCCCTTTCTTGTACTCCTCCTCCGTCCTATTATAAATACCATTAATTAAATTCCTCATTGAAAAGTTATCATTTAATACTACGATCTAATAATATTTATCATTACTTATAAGTTAAAGATCTTAGGTTTGATTTTCGTTAAATACGAATTTGAACCACATTATTGCTAACTATTATGAGGCTAAGTCCATCCCCTCCCCCTAAAGTTCCCTAATTTGAGAAAGATCAAGAAAAAATGAAAGGGGAAAGAGAGCTCTTTACCTAACTTCCAAATAACCATAGCCAGATTCGAGCAGATGTTTTGCTTCTTGAACATCAACGGTGACAACTTCCGATTCCGAGCTACAGCATAACAGAACAACTATATAAACAAACCCAGAAAGCAACCCGGCAAACCAAGAAAAACCCATATCACAATTTGCAATACAGAACTCAAGAAATTAATTTTCTGAAAATTTGGATAGAAAAGGGCCACCTTCCAATAGAACCCATGAGGAAGAACTGGTGTTATATAAGTAGCTCTGGTTTTTGTGAAATCTGTTGGCTGTTTGGTTGATTTTCCGGGAAAACCAGCTGAGGATGGAAAAGGTGGGCTGAGGAACCTTACTGCTGCTGCGGTGTTTCGTTTTTCTGTGGGGAAGACCGGAAGAATTCCTTACAGATGGGGAGCTAAAGCTACTTGCAGTTTCAATCATGGGTCCACATAACATCGTGCCGCCTAATGAGAACCCACCTTTGATGTGAACTTCAACCAAATTCATAGCATATGTCCAATCATGGGTTATGTATGTTATGACTTTATGAGAAATTCTCTGCGGATGACGTCCGTTGTTTCTTAAACATGTTACAGCATTACTACTTTCCTACTAGTCACATTCAAAGTGTCCAAAAACATTTTCTTTATGTTTTTAATGAGTTATTTCTATATGTGCATCAAATTGTGATTCACATAAATTATTATTTTTTCTTTAAACTTGCAGTTATTGTAATATAATTATACGAGTATTCAACCAAAAGAATCTTTAATATTTTAATGTGACCTGATTAATAATTTAATAGTATAACAATGGATTTGGACTTTGTGGAATCCATATCCATCAAAATCCACTAATCAATCTCTTGATAGGGCAAATTGCTCAAAATGCTATTTTATTTAAGTAGATCTTGAAATTAATATTTCTAAACTCTTGGATTACATGCTTTGTATTGTATCGAATCCGACTAACATACTAGATACCTTTACACCTAAATTATATATACATATTTACACCTAAATTACTATTTCGTGACACCACCTGAGCTTCATGCAACACATGCGGCAGATTGCAGAGGGTCATCAAATTTCTGGTGATTCATATGAACGGATCTGCGTCGAGAGCGCAGGTTTATTCAAGATGCGTTCAAGGTGTACGCTTTCACGGAAACATTAAGCAGCAGCTGTTACTGATATTTCCATGGCAGTGTAGACAAATATCAACCTTATGTCTCTTCAATCCACGCAATGGAACACATTCGAGTGGCGTTTGTATGGATGTCCACAAAAAACAGGAGCAACCCTGAAAAGAAACAACAGACACAATGTTGGATGTGACAATGGTGATGACAGAAGAAGCCTCATGGTTGCTAGAAAGTAGGAACGCGCCTTAGGCGTGGATTACAACTGAAAAGCATTTGGAAACCAAAAGGGATTGCTGTCACTTCTATAAGTCAAATGATAGAGATTTGTAAAATGATTTGGCTTTGATTTGCATCAAAATGGCCAGCGCAACAGTCCAAATGCCAACAAAGTCAGTCTTTCAAAGGACCTCAACATGTCCAGCGAATCTCGTCCATAAAAAGGTTATTCATCCTTTTGTTGGAGTACGAGGGAAAAACTTTCAAACTAACCTCGATACCTTGAGAGTCATATTTTCCATTCGCTAATTGTATAACCAGGTTTTTCTCTTGATCTGCAAGAAGAAATAACCAAATTTTCAGTATATAATAAAGGGAGTTTTAACGAAAAGTCCGCGGTACTATTCATTTTAACGAAAAACCACATTTTACACTAAAAAGTCAAACTTGGTACTATTCACTTTACTCTTTATTTTGTCCTTATCATTAAAACTCAAAATTTTCAAGCCCTTTTCATTAGTTTTTCTTATAATTAAAAGTAACCCCACAACCTGAACAATTCAAACAGTAAAAAAGAATCATCCATCAAACACTAAATAGCGAGGACGGGCCCAATTCTCTTACCTCAGCATTCGCAATTTTCTTTCTTATATCGTTCTTGCACACGGGGCAGTTTCTCCCCCATTTTTTCAGCCATGAATCCACACAGCTTGAATGAAATTCTGCAAGTAGCTCTCAAGCTGATTAACAGACATCAACAGACTTCGAATAACAAGGTGAGGAAGTAGATCTAAACTACAATTAACCTTTCGATTAAGGCCAAAGTCAATTGCCTAATATGATGATGGGCATGAAATGTCCCTAACCCTATAAGGTTATGACCAACATAGGATTTAACAGCATGGCGATAATAGCAGCTTCTCCAAGTTCTTTCTTCTTAGACTGGACACGTGTTCTAATACTTGTGATCACATGTCCACAGTATGAAAGTTCAGCGCATTACAAACCCAAGTTCTTCTACAATGTAATTTATGACCAGTTGAAATTCTTCTGCGGTATCATCAAGGTAGGAGGCAAACATGTACTATGATGTCAAACATTTATGGCTTGATGGAACTGACACCGCAACTATGATGAAAATACAAGGAATATTAACGTGAGGGAACATCTTATAAATTACCATGTTGGCAGGGGAGAACTTTAAGAATTTCGGAATCTTTGTAATTCTCAAGGCAGATGGCACAAGTTTCTTCAGTGTGGCATTCATCCAAACCGGCAGAACTGAATGTGAAGCAAGGTAGAGCATCCACAATCTTGGTATCAGCACTTTTAGGAAGTTGGTTTCTTCCTTGAGTAGTCCAGCTCCAGTTTCTCTGAGCACAGAGGGCAATCACAAGGAGACCCAATACAGTTAGAAATGAGATGAAACATACAGCGAACACCGACCAGGCCTTTTCATTTGGTAATACGAAGATGCAGCATTCCCCTTCTTCCCCACGAGCATGTTCCTTTAGCATTTCACCAGATGCTTTGGAAACAAATACAGCACGAATTGTAACATTCTTGCTGTTTATCGTCACTGATAAAAGAGGACGGCAATCATTATAAATTATAACAGCTCAACGTAGACTCAATACAATCTTCAACGACATAAGAGGAGCCCAAAATGAAATCGAACAACACAAATATAACAGAAGTAACAGAAATTTCAAGGGACATGGTGACTCACTGTGAACCAATTTTTCTCTTCTATTATCGTAAACAATCACAGCATGAAATCCGGCATTTTGAGCGTGTTGCACTTTATCCTCAAAAGTACATTCACCTCTTTCTACTAAAGCAAACCTTGTTATATCAGTTTCATTTGATTGAACACCATAGCGCAGAGGCAAGCAGGCATCCAAAGGGTCTGCTACAAGCAAAGCTCCACATATTTCAGAGCCGCCGACAGCAACAGCTATCACAATATTCAGATTTCAATGATTAGTAAAAGTACTTGGTCTAAAACTAAAAGTGATCATCCAAATATAATCTTGTTCAAGGGCATTTGAATTGAACCCATTTCGAATATATTTGATTTGAGTTGAACCCATTTCGACTTTTTACGTTAAGCTAAGGGATCGTTCGATAACCATTTCAGTTTTTAGTTCCCATTTCTTTCCGAAATAAGTGAAAACAAAAATTCGAAATGGTTATCTAATGACCCCTTAGATTAACCAAAACCTGAAAATTCCGAAACGGGTTCAACTAAAATCGAAAGCTGTGCTAACTGAAGAGACAAAAGGAAGGAAAGACTAGTTTTCCCACATTTTCTCAGCAACCAAACAGCAAAAGATGGAAAGTTACCATATTTGGCGGGAAGGTCGGGGATAAGAATTCCAGATGGTTGGAGAACAATGTTAGCTGAGCTAAGTTGGAGAAGCTGAAGATAAACAACCACAAAGAATCCCACTACGGCTTCCCTCATCTTCCTCTCTGTCTCTCTCTCTCTCTCAGCTCCAAATTACCTAAATTAAACACAAAATTAACAAAAAAAAATAATCAAAATTTATTGAAATTCATGAATTCAAGCAATTAGTGACTAAATAAACCGAAAATCGAAAACAGAAATTGAAAATAAATAAAAGGGCATACCGATTCAGTGAGCTCGTAAGATTAGCGAGACTGAAAAACCCCAGAAGCAGATGGAGAGCTGAAAATTGCCAAGTTTCCAACTTTTCAACGGTATTTTCTACTGTATTCGAGCTATACGCTGTCGTTTAGGGTTTTGACCTAAAGCGCTGCGTTTTGATCAGTAACCATTAGCCGCCGGAGTTGAAAAGCTTCGGTTTTTAACACTGATCTGATTTTTCAGTTGCAGCTTTCGAATCTGTCTGCGAATTTCATGGAAGAAGAAGAAGAAGCAGCTTCGAAGCCGGCGCTGCCGGACGCCTTCCTCGATTTTCTGAAGGAGAACGGGTTGGACCCTTCGATTTATTCGGAGAGCCAATCGACCCCACGTTACATAAGGTACTAATTCTCTCTGTGAATTTATTATTTGATAAATACTCGTAAATAGAACCGTTACGAACTTTTAATCAAAAATTAGAATACAACGATATTAAACCAACAATAAATCATATATAAATTAATTTTTAGTATTTTTCATTGTATGAGTGCTTCGGTTCGGTTTTTGATTAAAAGTTTGTAACTTTGTTGATTTGTGCATGTTTGCCCCTGCTGTTTTTTGCATGTGTTTTTGTAATGGAAGAATTGGGTTTTGTTTGTTATGATTGAAAGGCTGAAGCCCGGATTCGAAGATCGAATCGAAGAGATTGAAGCTGAGATCAAGTGCAAGCTTGAAGAAGTGGAATGGTTGCCTGGATTTTATGCTCTTCCGCCGGATGTTCAGATTGCTAACTCAAATGCATACCGGGAGGGGAAGGTGAGGGGGGAATTGGGCAGTCGGGTTTTGTTTTTTTAATAGCAAGAAAGTTTCGGTTTTTGCGATTTTTTATTGCAAGATTATGATTTTGTGTTCGTTGGATTTTGGGTTTTAGATATATGGAATTGACGCGGCGTCTGGTGCTGCTGTTTCAGCATTGAGTATCTCAGCTGGAGATCATGTTCTTGACCTTTGTGCTGCTCCTGGTAAGTTGTTTTCTTGTTTCTGTTTGTTACTATCGTAGATTGCGTCGAATGGGAGTAAATTGATTTCGTAAAATGCAATGCTTAACGTGTAACAATGTGTAAATTTATCAGCTTTTTAAGCCAGTTGAAGATTATGAGCAAATGCAACTAATTCCGTGTGAGATGTATTTGACAATATTCATGTGCGAAATCTGATTCAGTTGTTACAATGATGACTTTTTTTCTTTCTTTTTTTTTTGCAAATGGCTCACTTTGCTTTCTTCTCGTGTATGTTCTATCGTCAGGTGCTAAGCTTTGTATGATATCAGACCTTCTTGGCAATTCGGGTTCTGTAACTGGTGTTGATGTTTCAAGCCATCGTTTAGCAGCCTGTAGGACAATGTTACAGAAATATGCATTGGGCAATCGCTGCCGACTATTTGTTGCTGATGGGACAACTTTTTCCCTCGTACCCACGAGAGTTCTTTCAGATCCAAAATCATGTAACTGATCTGAATCCACATATACCTGAAGCTTCATATCATATGTGGAGTGAAAATCATAAGAATGCTATATCCAAGCATGTTTCTGTTTTTAATATGTTGTCATTCTGTCTAGAATTATGCAGGTGAATCTACTTGGGAAGAAAATGTGACATTCAAGGAGTGGACATCTAGGAGACCATGGAAAGAAAGGAAAGAAGCAGCTAGGGTAAGAAAAAATGGTGCCGTTCGGTCAGGGAATCAACTTCCAGAGCTCATTTATTATGGCCGCCACTCTGGTGTGGCTGGACTGACTAAAAGTGAATTGTACCAAACTTTTCGTGACAGCGAATATTTGAGCTGCGGCTATGACAAGGTAATACTGCATTTTGGTTCGTTCTTTAAACCCGCCTTTACAGGTCTCTTCACTCTTTCTATTTCCGTATTTTTTTGGACAATCACTAACACCATTTCCATATCTTTTATGTTATTTCTTTGTCGTTTAACGTCGTTTATAGTTTCATTGAAGTTTGCTAAGTTAGCGGGATGTTTATTCAGGTACTAGTGGATGCAGAGTGCACTCATGATGGATCAATTAAACATGTCCAGAAATTCGAACAGTGGGGATGGGAAACTCTTCAACGTCGTGTACTGGATGCAGAAAGAAGTGATAGCCTCACCGTGCTTCAGGTATCTGATTTCAGTTTCTCTCAAATGTATTTGCGAACTATGCTACTTCATTTATTATTATTACTTCTCTATTGTAATTTTTCCCATGTGCATTTAATGGCAGAATTCTAGCTTCCTTGTGCATCGTCCCCTGTTATAAAAATGCTTAGTAAAGTGATGAAAATGTGTCTTTGGTTTGCAGTTGAAGCTCCTAACCAATGGTTTTCGATTGCTAAAATCTGGGGGGATTCTTGTTTATAGCACTTGCAGGTGCCTTCTGTTGTTTGCTCCTTTAACCTTTAGGACATTACGCATAAAGGATATTCGCTTGTATTTTGCTAATTTTCGTTTTCTGTTGATTAGTTTGACAGTTGCTCAGAATGAAGACGTGGTAAAGCAGTTTCTTGAGGGAAATCCTTGTGCGGGTAAAGTCCTTTGTGCTTTGTAATATCATTAGTGATGGTTTAAGTAATTTACAGCCTGCAACTTATGGGTATGGTGACTGTATTAAACGATTAAGTATCATTTTACCTGTAGCAGAACGGCTAATCAAAATTAGTTTACCAGACATGATGGTTTAAGTACTTTGTTTTTTCGTTACATTTTTAATGTCATAAAGAAACCAGATAACAATATCTACTCTAGACAAACTCATAATCAGTTGTTAATCCCATACTATCTACATTACATTACGAGCTGAAGTTGTTTCTACGACTTTCTCCTGCTCGCGCAGCTCTTGCATCTCTAGTTCGTACTCTATGAACAATTTATCATTACATCAGAGTATAGTCATATCATTTTACACGCTGATATCCCTGTGGTTCATCGGTTCCTTCTTATTCCGCAGAGTTGCAGGTGATAGATGCTGCTGAAAATTGGCCGTGCAAGAACGGGCGAGTACCAGATACCCTGCGCTTTGATCCCGTGACTTCAAAAACGAGCGGACTGTTTGTCGCAAAGTTCTCGAAATTGACCATTTAATCAAGTTTTAGTTGTACTGCATTTTCTTTTCGTTTCTTTGCACTGCTGAATAGTTCAGACAACCATTTAGCAAGGCAAATGGCATTTCAGCTTTCCTCCCCTCCTTTTTTTGGTAAATAAATGTGGCTCCATGCCCAACAAAGAGAAACTAAAGCAAAAAAGCAAAACATCAAGAGATCTAGAGATTCCATCAGCGTTCGACACCAATATATTATGACAACATGCAAGAGCTTGATCGAAATAAACTGGACTAAGAGAATACGACAAACTTAAGTTAGCTAGTTCATTAGTCACAAAACTCATCTCTTTTTATGCAATTAAAGTTTTGTTGAAGTATTTTCCCCGGATAGTGTAGAAGAACTATACCAAATCGGTCGGGCTTGTCAAGAAACTACTAGATCCTAACGATAATCGGTAAGGCTTTGTTATGTTACTAGTTTAATACCTAAATGACAATTTTTCTGAAATGTCTAGACTACTTAGTACGGAAAATGAATGATCATAATTGAATTTAAAAAAATAATTAAAAAAAAACTCTATTTTAGCTTACTTGTCAATCTAATGGTTATAAAACTGGATTATCTAGTAGTCCAGGCTATTGAAGATTCACCTCCTAAACTATACGAAGCCAAACTGTAATGTTAATATTAACTTGATTGCTATTTGAGGATTAAATCAAAGTAAAACTAATGAAAAATGTTAGAAAACTTTGAGTTTTAATGATAAGAACAAAATAAAAGATAAAGTGAATAGTATATGATTGATTTTTTAGTCTAAAAATATGATTTTTCGTTAAAATAAACAATACCAGAAGTTTTTTTTGTTAAAATTCTCTTAAATCAAACCAAATTAGTTCAAGCCCATTCCTACCAATAATGTTTGGAGGGAGCATTTAGGTACGTACACTGCGTGCATTAATTAATAAATAACAAGTGGAAAGTACATCCCCAATAATTGAAGAAATTTTTGGTTATGATGCGAATAAGGACGGTATATCATATGTTTTTATACAAGTAGTGAAAAATTTTAATTTTTAAGTTATTAACTTTTTAATACATATAACCTACCATTTATATAGAAACACATAATATACTATCTCGTGTGACGGTGAACAATCTCTCTAATAATAATTGGTACGTGTTTTTTGTTCTATAAACTAATAAAGACTGAATCTGAATCAGAAAATGTACGCGGCCGGAAATGTGTACAGATTCATCCGACGTAATTACATATGCATACTTCAGTATCCAAAACCAACACGCCGTCGTTTCATCACGTTGCATTATTAGCAAGCCTCCAAAAAGCTTCAGGACAAACTCGTCGGTAAATCCAGGTCACCGCTGACGTCTCTCAAGAACTGCCAGTCAAACCCAGAATATTGCTACAAGGTACACACAAGCTCCGATCAAAAAGGCTCCAATCCTCGTTTTTCGGAAACCAAAACGTCCACGTTTCACATTCTCGTTTAGCGCTCGGAGGAGCAGATGACCGGCGGCAGCGGCCACGAAATCGCAGCTCCTCTCAGTAAGCAAACGCTCAAATTACAAGTTTCTCCTTCTTTTTCGCCAAATTTACATTTCTAATTCCACTAATTTCCCTCCATTTTGCTATCGCCGCAGTTCCGAAGACTCAATACGATGCCTCCGCCTCATCTCCGCCGCCGGCGGACGAGAACTCTCCGATCGAGCAAGTCGCCCTCACCGTTCCGGTCACCGACGATCCCTCCCTCCCGACCGTCACTTTCAGGACATGGACGCTCGGAGCCCTCGCGTGCGTTCTACTCTCCTTCCTCAACCAGTTCTTCTGGTACCGCCGCGAGCCCCTCTCGCTCACCTCGATCTCCGCTCAGATTGCGGTGGTCCCGCTCGGCCACCTCATGGCGTCGCTGATCACGGATCGAGTTTTCTTCAAGGGGCGAAAATGGGAATTCACGCTCAATCCGGGACCCTTCAATGTGAAGGAGCACGTGCTCATCACCATCTTCGCCAACTCCGGAGCTGGGAACGTCTACGCCATCCATATCGTGAGCGCGGTTAAGATCTT